GAAATGGCTCTAATGTTGGCCTATGGATCTAAGATTGGGCCCACCGCTAAAAATATGCTATTTATCAATTTTATCTAGATGAACGCGTCATTGGGACGGTACTCATAAACATTTTTGGTCGCTATTGAAAATTTAGTGGATTGCTGAATTTATGTATGGGCCCAAATTAGGGGCATTCACTTGAAATGACCTCCTCGGAGGAATTCATCATAATTTTCGATTCCGACCGAGATCGCGAACACGTTCTATGTCACCGCCGCCGATATCACTAGTACTCGGAAGTTAAGTATTAAAAGAACAAAATGAAACGAACTCACCAAATCTGGCCAAGTGAACCTAACAAGCTGCCTTTATGTGTTTGTTGGAGAAGATGTACCAATTGTAGACGATTCACTTCACGGGAACCGATATGAACCAATCCAGTTTGTGGTAGAGCTTGCATAGAATATCCCGAATGTAGTCTCGATACTGTGGAATTCTATTAAGAAAATTCAAGTCTCTGTTTTCACTCGGCTGTAAACAGAAGCAGACCACTTTCAATGTGTGTCACGCGATCGTCTGTTTACTCGGCAGCAACCATTGAGTTTTCCTCCTCATTGTTCTTCATCAGCAGTTCTTTCAGTCGACTTTGCAAAGCAACCGTTTCGTGATGAATGTGTGAGTGCTGACCACGTTTTGCGTCCATTGCTGCAATGGAAGCGCTCTGCTCCCCGTTGGCGTATCTGCCATACAATGAAACCACTGGAAGCGGCTCCCGTTCTGGTGGAGGAGGCTTATTGGATAGCGAAAGATAAAATGTTTATTATGTTGTACCATTTGACTATAGTTTTAAGATGTATTGTATAGTGAACAAGAATCTTCGGCTCTGTAAAGTTAATTCGGTTAAAAATAAGACGGGAGGAAAATTTTTCGCTTCTTTCTTCAAGCACAGCACTCTTCGATCTTACCCAATTTCTTCATATTAATTTTATTTACAGTTGAAAATGTATCAATAATCTTACGATTTTACAGTTCGTTGATTGTGTCAGGTGTTGAACAATGATCGGACATGCAAGGAATTGGAGATCGGACAATTGTTTATTGACATGAGCCTGCTTCTCTATCTTCAAGTAGCTTCGAAACAGGATATGTCTCGTTCAGGCTTTATACTAGAACTACTTCACTCGGAAAACTGCAGCAAAAGAATTCAAACACTTTTCTTCCAATGACACCAAAAGAAATTCTAAAAATTTTATATGTAAGCTATCGTGGTAGAAACAATTGTAAAATCACCGTTTGCCCCGTACGTGGACAGATTGCAAGTCAGTCAGTATTTCTCTACAGTGAAGACATAATATGAAAGTTGTAAAAAGAGAATATAATGGTGTATGTGGTATAAAATTGATTGATTTCAAGTAAAATTTCAAGATTCATGAAGATTTAAATCATTCTTTAAGACCAAATTATGACCTACAAGACTATGATAAAACTAAAATTGTTACTTGCGAAGGTCCCGAAGAAACGTGCTCAACTCTTTGGTCCCAAGCTAATCGATGCACCCCTCGAAACATACGAAAATTCACTAACCCCTCATTATATCTATCAAACATTGCATAGCGAATCAAAACAAACATAGTGTAGTACTAGAATTTAAGATAGAATGGGGTACGCTTATAGTTGTACTTGGGACCAATAGGCTAGTCAAGAAGTGAGCCAATCGTTGATGACAGTAACATTATTGTTTCTTAAAACCCACTTTTTGAAGCGGCAAAAAAAGCGAATACTGTATTATAATTCCACTATTAAACACCAGAGCTGCGCTTTTATCCGCATCATTGTTGACATAATTATGACTGAATACTTGTCATCAATTTTGTGGTACTGGTGTTTTGGTGTTTTGCTGTTTTAGTTGTTAAACTGTGAAGAAAACATGAAAATATCACTGCAAGTGAGTAATTTGATAGTTAACGACGATACCAAAAAGGTATTCCGTATCATAATATAACAGAAAAGTTCAGTGTAAGCTTTAAACTGGATTATTTTTTCCGGTTCCGGCAGTGCAAAAGATCTGTATACAAATCAAGCAGTTTGGTTCCGTTGTTGACAGTGTTGGCCGTGGACGAAAACGAGCAACAACACCACGGGAAGATGCAAGAATTTCGAGAGAAGTCAGGATAAATCCAAGGATGATAAGCTGTGCAGTGCCGGAAAGCTCCTCGATTTGTTTTCCGTCGATCTTGTTTTCCGTACCGAGTACCAATGCTACCGACGACAGGAAGGCACCTGGAACCTACCTATCGATCCATCCATCTCATGGGCCGGGGACCTAAGGCTTTACTTCCCTTCCGAAGGAAGGCGTGATCAGAGTTTTGATGCCGCAGAAAATCCCGACGGCACCGACTGGAATTGAAACCAGGCCTTTCGGAGTCAGAGGCAGTGACGCTTACCACTATACCACCGGTGTCGCTAATGTTTGAAATGGATGTAATGTCCGCCTAAATGTGCCTAATTTGAGCCCATACATAAATTCAGCAATCGACTAAATTTTCAATAGCGACCAAAGTATCCATTAGTACCGTCCCAATGATGCCTTCATCTAGATAAAATTTATAAATAGCAAATGTTTAGCGATGGGCCCAATCTTTGATCCAAAGGCCAACATTAGAGCGATTTCCCCTATATTGAAAACTACAAATATTGAGCTAGTTTAAGGTGATACGATACGTCACGCTTTTTTGCTTTTTTTTTTCTCTCGTTTCTATGTGTCAGTGAAATGATTATCATTGATGCTGTAGGGGTGTGGGTGTACATCATGCACTGTCGCAACTACCGTAAACATAGCTGCTAGAGTTCGTTATTAATAGGTCGAATGTCTATTTATCATCCATTATTGACACCATTACTACATTTCTATTAAATCTGCCAAAATTAACGATCTACCACCTCCCAAGGACATCCCTTTCTATACAGAAAAATATCATACGCCTAGCCACTAAGGCCAACCAAGTCAAGTAATCATACTACTATGATTAATTCAAAGCCACACTTTGTACACTTTGGTTACACACGATCGGTCCAAAAATGATTCCAGCACTCAAACCTCCAGCTGCATGGTAAGGAAAAAGTACCCAAAAGAAAGTTATTTTCACACATCTCGCCACTTTATTACAGGAAGCCAAAAGTAGGTAAAGTGAATCAAAGTAGTTTTCATTCACTTGTGTTCAAATCTTATGGAATTGAAAATTTGCTTTCTACCCAAAAGTAAGTCAGTTATGCCAAGAGTAGGTGAATATGATCGTGATTATACTCAAAGAAAAAATAAGGTAAATGTGAACTGGCCGCTAAGTACGTTTTTTCTTATCGGGTATGTTTATGTTTTTGCATCATTCTTTTCCCGCCTTTTTAATATCAGCTGATGGCTTCGACCAGTGCAACCAGAATGACAAATAGGTTCTCTATAGAAGATTTGTAGGTTTATTTACTTCCATTTATTTTCTGAAAAAAAAAACGAAATAAGATATTGTTTTAATATTTATTAGTGATGGTTTCTAAATTGAACACAGTTGAAGAACCTTCAAAAGCAATAAAAACATTGTTTTTAAACACTTTGTTTCAATTTAATTGACAACACTGGAAACGATGATAGATGATTTGTACACACACCTTCGTAATGTGGTGTGTAGAAAAAAGGTAAACAAAACATTTTCAGCTTACAAAATTATTCGCGGCTCGCGTTTTTAACGATGCAAATGATATCATTTATGTAAATATCATCTTTAAAAGTGAATTAAATTGAAAGTGCTTGTAGAAGCACGTGTCGTAATTGTTTTTAGTGTGGTTCTGAAAAGTGGAAGCTAGTGAAAACAGTTAGTTAAATAACATGCCCTGAGTAGAACAAAATCGACTGATCGTACTTTTTCATGCAAATATTGCGAATGCGTGAATGAACTGGTAATATTTTGGTGAGAAAGTGCACAAATATGTATCCAGATCTTATTCATACAGTTTTGGCCAATTTTTTAAGGTATGTAATTAGTAATTTACTATTTTGTAGGAAGATGTCTTTCGTACGCATACCAAAACACGTTTATTTAATGATTGTGGGGACAGCCATTGTTACATGACGTGCCGTATCACCTTAAGCAACTGGTAAAATAAATTTTAAAGTAAGCCATCGATAACCATAAATTCTTTGAAAATTTTAGATGAAATATTTTAAACATTTCATTGAAACACATGCTTATCTTAAGATCCAACGAGCAGCGAGATTCCTTCCTTCTCATCAACTCCAATTCATCGTTCTCGCAATCCACAAAAATCCACCCGAATATACTCGGAAACGGCACCACGAAAACAATGATCCTTGAGTGTCATCCTCATTAGACCAGATGTCGTGTCATATACGTACATCCACAATGTCCTTCTACGCATCCAAGTGGATTAGGCAGGATTATTTCGTTTCGTTGGTAGCAACGACGTGGAAAAATCCAACCAGCAGCGAGGTGGAAAATTCTTGCTTCTTCTTCCACCTATCTATCTATCTCAGTACAAACTAATTAGCATCCGTAGTGGTTGGCTGTTCCATCTTGCGCATCGTTCGCTCAAATCCACCGCCACCAGCAACCGAAAAACTAATTGCCCATAAACTTCCAGCTGATTGCACAAATTTCTTTTTGATAATCTGATTGATGAGCAATTCTTCCTGACGGCCGTCCGCTTTGCTTGTTTTGTCCGTCCATTCATTCTGAGAAAATGTACTCTTGGGCTTCGAAGCGCTCTTCCTAGATTGGGATTACGATGCGTTGGCCTACCAGCACTATATGTATAATGTGGAAAGTTGAGTTCGTCCCGTACTGACCCGGCTGACAACCATTTCAAGCGAAACTTTCCCTAGTGCAGTATACCACTCCGTACCGTCATATATATAGTACACGAACGGAAGCCAAAAGCTGAAGCACTTTAATCTAATTACTATTTACTCACCCCTCGTTCGTATGTTTCTTTTTTCTTCCTTCGAGCAGACATGAGCCAGGCCTCGTCAGATCTGAAGAAGCAGCAACGGATGGCCGATCGAATGAACGCATTCAACGCCAAGTATCAGCGGACGATCGAAAGCAACGACATCAACGCCAACGGGGGCGGCATGGACGGAAGCAGTTCCTCATCGAGTGGTAGCAGCGGCAGCAATGGCGGCAAGGTAAGCCCATTTTGTACAAGTTCATTTTTACTGTTCCTTCTTTATTGGCTTCTTCTGCAAAAGGCGGATGGCGCGATTGGGTCGCACCGGGAGTAGGGCGGTATTGATTTTTCTATTTGGGCCCTGCTAAACGAGGGCCTGAGGGGCACGTGGTATGGTGAAAGTAAAGAGGGAGAGAGCTTTAGCCGGCTAATGAGCTTGCCGCGGTGTGAGGGATGGGGCCAAAATGCCATTAAATGTGCTCTTCAGTCAAGAATGAGTAATTACGAGGGAATTTTCCGTGAAAAATTGGATAAATAAGACTATTTTCGGGTGATTACTGGTGTCTTTCTGTAAATAGAAGTGCGGGAGTCAGCAATTCTGGGAAAATTATGACAAATGGACCCACTTAAGAAACTTGCCATGGAATGTCCCCCAAAACTTGCCGCCGTTTGAGAGTCGTTGTCGATTGATAGGGTTGGCTAAGGCAATCTTCATCGCAAAGCTTATTTCTTATCTTTAATGTTTTATATACACACTAATAAATAACTAATTTTACACGTGACGGAATCCGCCATTGACATAGAAGATGAGACGTAAACAAACATGTCATGTAATATTAAGTGCTGCGAGACTGAAAAGATCGTTGCTCGACGAAAAGTACGATTGATTGAGCTATATTTCGCCTCCATTATGAGTCCATTTTATGTTGAAATTGATGCTCGTGTATGTCAGTCTCAGAGCACCTAAACTTACATGAATTTTTCTAAGTGTACACCATATGCCTACACAGCAAAAAAATCATAATGATAATTGTGATGTAAACATTAATTCACGTAAACTTGTATTTAATTTCACGCAATTGAGGAACTTGTAAGCAATGTTGTTTACACATATGGACTTTTGTATACAATATTTGCTACATTTCATGAAATTTCTCAGAACTTAACACGATAAATAGTGTAAACTTAGATGAGATGTGATGCTCCTTTTATGTGCATCATATTGAACAGAAATTTACACTATTTTTTCGAACTGTTTATTTGATTCAATTTATCAATTAATTCAACTTAATATGATAAGTTATCATGCAGAATGATAGACACATAATAGCTACTGCTTCTATTACCAATAGATTGCAAATTTCGTTTAATGTAGATACTTACTTCTATATTTACATTAGTATGTGATCAATTTTCCCCGCGAACTACGGTACCATTTCACTTTCTTACTCGACTATTTCGATTGATCTCCAATTCCATCGCTTCAATCTCCCCACTCTCTCCCGTGCACTCTTTTTTCTGTTTAAAGTTCTTCGTTCGATAGCTAAAGGGTGATACGGTCAAAATTTGGTCAATATCAACTTGACGTATTTCTTTCAATTTTGCATTTAAAAAACCTGAACACCCCTCATTTTGAAGGTGTGTGTGTGTAGAATGTTGCTCCTATTTTGATTTTGGAATTCACTCTTCAGTTGTCAAAATGCCGTCCAAGCAAGAAGAGCAGCGTATCAAAATTTTGCTCGCGCATCGCGAAAATCCGAGCTACTCGCACGCAAAGTTGGCAAAATCGCTAAAAGTTGCCAAATCAACCGTTACAAATGTAATTAAAGTGTTTGGGGAACGTTTGTCGACAGCCAGGAAGTCTGGATCGGGGGGAAATCGAAAACCGGAAGCCGCTGAGACGACAAAGATAGTTGCCGGTAGTTTCAAGCGAAACCCTAACCTCTCTCTCCGAGATGCCGCAAATAAGCTGGGTGTATCGTCTACAACCGTGCATCGAGCCAAAAAACGAGCCGGACTATCGACTTACAAGAAGGTAGTGACTCCAAATCGCGATGATAAACAAAATACGACGGCCAAAGCGCGATCCCGGAGGCTGTACACGACGATGCTGACGAAGTTTGACTGCGTGGTAATGGACGACGAAACCTACATCAAAGCCGACTACAAACAGCTTATACGCTTATAGTTTTATACGGCAAAAGGAATGGGAAAGGTAGCAGATGTTTTCAAGCACATGAAACTGTCAAAGTTCGCAAAGAAATATCTGGTTTGGCAAGCCATCTGTACCTGTGGCTTGAAAAGCAGCATTTTCATAGCTTCCGGGACTTTCAACCAAGAAATTTACGTGAAAGAGTATTTGAATAAACGTCTGCTGCCTTTCCTGAAGAAACACGGTTGTTCCGTACTGTTTTGGCCGGATTTGGCATCTTGCCATTACGGTAAAAAGGCCATGGAGTGGTACGCCGCCAACAACGTGCAGGTAGTTCCCAAGGACAAGAACCCTCCCAACACGCCAGAGCTCCGCCCAATTGAGAAATACTGGGCTATTGTCAAGCGGAACCTAAAGAAGACCAAAAAAACTGCTAAGGGCGAGCAGCAGTTCAAGGCAAACTGGCTTTCTGCGGCGAAGAAGGTGGCTGTACAAAATCTGATGGCAGGGGTCAAGCGTAAGGCCCGGCAATTCGGATTTGGAAAAGCGGAAGCCTAACTGAATATTTTTCCTGAATTTTATACTAATTGAACTTGAAAAAGAAATTTAATTTGATTTTTTAAATAAACGATTTCACCGATTTACACGCGTTTTCCCTTGACCAAATTTTGACCGTATCACCCTTTATATGCAGAGCCATGAACAAGCAGTGCTGCTGCAGAGGAGCAACGAAATTGCTTACTCTGATAAGAATCCAATTTTCTATACACCAAGGGTCTTCAGATCGTGCTCCGCGAAGCACTTAGTGCTGTGGAGCTTTAATGAAGCATGTCATTTGGTTAGGTAAAACGAAGGTTTTCGTCAATATTGTTCAACTTGACTTGAGTATCTTTTTAACCTGGGTGATGGGACCTCAAATTGGAACCATGTTTGAGCTGTCAAATCGAACCGAATGTTTTACTCTACCGGTACGAATAAACAAATACAAGTATGGCAGTCCATCGATATAAAAAATATTCAAGTTCACCAGGTATCATTCTATTTATGAAGGGATAGAGTGAAAATATATGGCAAATTTTACTTCAAAGCATCAAAATCATTTCGCTAAACTTTTTCATCAAACAATAGTTAAATATGCTTCTCGCTCCTCTTTCGTAAACTGTGCACGAAAAAGTAGTGTAAATTTCTGTTCAGTATGATGCACATAAATGGAGCGTCACATACCATATAAGTTTACATTATATATCATGTAAAGTTCTGAGACATTTCATGCCATGTAGCAAATATTGTATACAAAAGCCGATTGTTGTAAACAACATTGCTTACAAGTTGCTCGGTTGCATGAAATGAAATACAAGTGTACGTGAATGAATGTTAACATCACTATTGAAATTCAGAATTTTTATCTGTGTGGATATAAGGGCTGGGTTTGCAGCAGGATTCGTTTTGGTAAACGATATGCTGAATTGATGTCCTAAAGATTCAATAGCGCGAAAAAGCTTGGGTTTGAACCAGAGATGCCAGATTTTTTTTTCAAAAGTCTGCGAAAAATGTCTGTGAATTTCAGAAATGCCTGTAATTGGCCTGCATAAAATTATCACAAGTTTTGCGTGTGACGAAGGGGAGAGGAGGGAGGGGGGTGGTCATGAAAAAGATGCGAAATTTGAAATGTCTGCAAAAGTCATGTTCGAGCAAAAATGACTTGTTTTTAACGAATTGAACCTAATTGGAATTGGGAATGCATCCATTTACGCCGTATACGTTAAAAGCAATTAATAAAAAGATAAATTACAATTACACGACAAATGAGGTCAACTGAAAGTTGAGATTGGTTCACTCATATTGTTGAAAACGTAGGTAACTCATAGACTTAGTAAAACTTTTAGATTTTACAGGAATTTGTTTTCTAATATGAGCAACATCTCGATATATATATATGAAATTAGTACACGGAAAAAGTTTTCGTGTAGTTTCCATTGGGAATGCACATAATATTTTTTTCCATTAACAAACCCAATTATGTCTATCTGAATTTCACATGAATCAAATCAATTAATTCAATTAAACTTCATTTGACACATAAGGTTCATGTGATTTTGTGGTACAATTCCCAATTATGATATCACATGAAAGTTATGTGAAATTCTAATGAATATTTTCCATTGGATATGTGATTTATTCTTTCACGTGTAAATTTTTCGTCGATTTTTGTCATATTCGAAATAGATTTATGAGACTCGGGAAATTTTACTCATTCTACAAGTAAACTACGTTTTCTAGAGTTTGAGTAGTTTATGTATTTGAGCCATGTAGTGAGGAAATCCGTTAGTTACTTAGTACTGGTCCTTTTGAACGCCAGCAGCGGGGGAACGAGCACATCTTAGTGAGAGATTCAACTTTTCACCACCTAAATGTAGAGAAATCGGCAATTTGAAGAGCAATTTATAAGTTTATTAATACGATTCTAAACACTTCGTGCTCGAAAAGTGTTGATGAATCAGGATCAGGGTTACTGAAACGCAACCTATTCATCACATTTTGCAAAATAATGACAGCCCCTGCTTTTGTGATTGTTGCATGTTCAAACTCTGGAAGCAACGATATTTGTCCGGATATTTGGCAACATAATTGATGGCCAAACGTGACAAAACCCAAGACTAAACGATAGGTGCCATCGATGCTGATCTTCACCGGATGCCTGAGATTGGGGAATTCTATTAAGGTAGTGATGGAAATCAGTAATGACCTTGGAGATATCGGAGAATTCCCATTCGTGACATATGCGTTTCCGTACTTCCTATAATGTTTGTAATGCGCTTAAATTATCACCTCAAAATTTCAAGAGCATAGCTGCCACAAAACATACAACAATGAAACTGGAACTTCACATTTGATGCAACTTCATGAGTGATGTCACAACTGTGTCCGAAATGTGTGCTCTAGAACACTTGAAGTGATAGGGCATCTCAGCCATCATCAGGCAATATGTGGACTCTTCTAGGAATCACCATAAATGATTTTTTAACATATGATTTTCGAACAGATTTATCAACAAAAAATACTAAAAGGTGGATCAGCAAACATGT